GCCCGGCGGGCGGGGATGGGCGGATGGAGGGATGGACGGGTGGATGGAGGGATGGACGGGTGGATGGAGGGATGAGCGGAGCCAGAGAGCAGGTGAGACCTGCCGTCCCCTCCAGCTTCAGCGAAAAACCGGGGCTCTGCCATCTGCACCGCTTAAACCTTTACTTTCTGTACCTCAGCCGGCCTTAAGCAAAAGTCGGGTTTATCGCTGAATAACCCGTTTCGGCTTCTTTCCGACAGCGATGTGGGCAATAATTACATAGATACTGGCTCTGATCTTGTGAAATCTATAACAACAAGGCAGCTAATCTGAATGGGATCGGGCCCACAATCCCCGATTCTCTTTTAAACATCAGTCTAAACATCGGCAATGAGAATACATGCGGCATTATTTTTTTTATTAAGTGGAAAAGCCCACCGTCATTCATCATTACTTGAAAATTTACCAATTTTGAAAGCCAAAAAGAGGTAACTCAATAGATACAATTACTGCTAAATTTAATAAAGACAAATGATCGCATGATTGACGCTTACTGATTTAAATGCATTGTTTATTGTTTGTACAAAAGGCCAAGCGTGCCAGATACTTGAAACAGCTCCTAAAATATCATTCACACCATAACAATGCATTTTCTGCACTTATGGTAGAGTGAGTATATATCTAGATGTTCATTTGCCTTCCCCATGTCTGTTTTATGACCACAATTTTGGTTAACCATAGGTTCTTAGAAAATGAGCTTGGCTCCTCCTAAACACAGCCATAGCGTTCAAGCAGCCTTGTAATAAAAATCAGAAGAGAAGTTGGTACATCCTAACCATGCATTTTAATTCTCGGTTTGACTTATTATTACACTGATTCTCAGTATCACTCTGTGAAAACAAAACCTCTTACATTAATTTGTGGTCTGCGATGAGATATGTGGGGTGGGAATCAAGAGCAGGGATCAAACCTCTGCTACGTGACAAGCCTTTTATACGGGTTTATGTCCCCCTGTGCAGAGCTGACCGCTGAGCCAGCGTAAACCTTGGTTCTACGCGTCAGTCCGGGAAAGATGATAGGCAGCATCAGGTTGTTCAGTATGGAAATGTCAACAGAGGCTCAGCACTCTTCAGCTGGCTAACAGAAGAGTGGGACGATTCAGGGAATAACCCTGAAATGCATGCGTTCGGTGGTACCAGCATGAAAAAGGAACAGAGGCGCGTGAAAGTCATGGTTCAGCTCCAGCTGGACGGGCCTGTTGGTCCGAAACTGTACCAGCCTGGGCGCTTCGACCATATCCTCCTGCCTTGGAATGAGCCTTAGGCACACAGGCAGCTCCACAGTTCTCTTCTGAAATAAATCACCTCGGCAACGCAAACTGGAAAGCGTTCGTCAGCTTGAATTTCACCTGAACGTGCACTGAGTCGAGACCCTACAACAGAGCTAATCCTTTCCCCCCTGCTTGCCAAAGGGACCACACATCCCCAGATACTCCGGAAACGTTTAACGAGACACTTCACGCAGTTAAAAGTGAATCACAACCAACGCCTTCATGTTTGGCGCACATGCAAAAAATGGCACAGAAACTCAAAACAATCCTAAGGGGGCACGTTAACAGCATCAGAGAGAGGGGTTACGATCTTCAAGTCAGCAAGGGCAATAGACAGGGTGAGGTTATGAGGTGGCACAAAGCTTAAGAGAAAAGGAGAGGCGATGAAGATGGATCCTTCTTTTTCAAGACAAGATAGGAGCAGATGAAGTATTGATACTTTAGTTAAGATAATACTGACATATCTGTCTACACGTAGGTATGCCAACCTAATTGTCTCTGCTTTGCTAAGCTTCAAGGGCACCCATACATTTCACAGCAGTCAGCTTTCCACTTGTACTTGGAAAAATGATGATAATGCACACGGGAAGTTCAAAAGGCGGTTTAACAAATCCCCAAAGTAACAGCACGCTGCTAGGGTACTGCTATAAGGCCTTCCACTCTCTCCTGCCTCTGCCGGATAGATGCATAGGTTGGTATTAAAATAATTCTCCGGGACATTTATGAACAGGGGTTGGGAAAACCTAAGATCTCTTTTGTCATGGTATAAGGGAAATGAATACTGCTCAAGGGAGGTGGCGACAAAAATGCCTCTCTGCCTCCCTTGGGGGGAAAGGACACCGCCCCCCCCCCCCCCCAAAAAAAAAAAGTCTAACCAAAATTTGAAGTTGAAACTTCAAACTGCAATGAAATAAAAATTAAACACCCAACATAATTTCTAACAGCCATTTCTCTAGGTAGGTTAAGATCCTCATGTAGACCCACACACAGAGCTCATATTCAGTTTAATCACTACCTAAATGTCAGCCTACGTTCTAACCTACTTTGCATTAGACAGGCATCAAGTTTTAAGGGAATATAAGAACGTCTCAAGTTCTTATCATCAAATGTCAATTTACCCCCCCTCCCAAACCCTGTGCACTTCTTTATTTTCCCTGAAATCTACAGTATCCCTGAAGTCCTACAGTAATTTTAAAAAGAAAGAAAACCCCAAAATAATGCAAATATGATGTCCACCCGCACCAGCTCTACAAAAAGCTATCTAAGAAATTCAGAATGCTTTAGGACAGCGAAGAGTGGTTTCTACCAACTCAACTTCTGCCCCAAGAACAACAACAACAAAAAGAAATATGTAGCTGTTTTTCCTTTTTTGAGGGCAGGGGGAAGGAAACACAGGTAGGGAGGTGTGGAAGGGCAGAAGGGGCAATCCAATTGTGACTGGACATTTTGTCCACACAGTAGTCCTCAAGGTGTGACTGAAAATAACCTCTCAAAGTCCAAGCCTATGCCATGTTAAGTGTAAAGAACAAACGCTATGATTTAGCGGCAAATTAGCGATGCAGAACAAAACGTTTGATACCACAGCCGCATGTATGAGAGCTTAGCTTCTTGCTTTTAGAAGAGGAAACAAAAATGCATAGGTCTGTTTTGAGTATTGACTTTTAATAGCTTGTTTCTCATAAGGGAACAGGGGATGTTTTCTGTTTTAGAAATACAGGTATCAGTTGAGCTTTAAATACAGCCTGCTCCTGCCAACAGGTCATGTACATGATTTATTTGGCTTCAGCTTTTGTTTTTATGCATTAGGCAACCTTCAACCTTCTTTTGTAATACAATATATAGACAAATTTAAGTACAGTAATAGTGTAGGTATTTTACTGTCTTCACATTTTTCTTGACATACTGGACAAAGCGATACACATCAGTCTGCCCCCAAGCCCACGTTTCATACAAAGCACGTTGAATACTGCTTTCAGTGGCACACTCAGCTTGCTCCCATATTTCATTTGCCAAATCTACAGAACCAGATCCTTTGGGAATATCAGGAATTATTTCCAACTTTGTCCAGTGACATTCAAATGCTCAGGCAACTACTGGTAACTTTCATTTTACGGTTACTACAGATGTTGCATACCGACAGGAAAAAGAAAGTTTTAGAACTGGACAAGCTATAGCAATCCAGGTTTTGGTAGAAGAATTATATACAAAAAGGGGACTTTTATATATAGTTTTCAATCTGTAGTTTCATTTTTCAAAATAAAACCTGTATATATAAATGGATAACATTCAAGATCTGTATATGAATAACAGTTGCTTTCTGGCTAAAACAATATATTTAGACAGAATCTCACTTTCTGTTTTTCACTTGAAGTACGCTAGCCGTCCAGTCCTTTGGGAAAAAAACTTCCATTTTTAAAGTCCTTTAGGATCCATCAGATTCATTATATGGAAATGACCTTAACTTATACAATATACTATATTATGAGGTGAACTGAAGGGGATTAGATATCGAAGTATTGATCTGGGTGCAGTAAGCCAAACAGCTGTTTAAACATGATACTACAGCTGAAATAAGTCTCTGTCAGAATAAAAACCAACATTCATGAGAACAGCAGCAGCCATCAAAAACATTCACAACTGCAGGGATTTTGTACTGTGTGTAATTCTGCATTATAAGTAGGAGAAGCCACAACAGTTTAAAGCAAAATTAAAAAAAAAAATACCACTATAGTCTTGAATTTAATAATGTGAGTTGTTACTCTCAGAGCTGTTTATAGAAGTGTACTAAAAAAATTTACTTAAACATATGAATTTAAGACTTTCACTTTATTCAGCAAATTGGTTTATTTACACAATGGGGAACGCTGGTTGAATGCTGTCAATGTAATAAAAACAAATCTAACAGAGACAATACTGAACTCTCTCTATGTATTCATAGCAGAAATGACAAACTATTTCCTTACCTGTATCAGGAACATCAAGCGCAACAATGGGACAGTATCATAGGACACTGATTTAACAATAAACCACAGAGGTCCAGTAATACTATGGCAATTTACTCATGTATTTACTGACTTTAAAAAAAAAAAAAAAAATTAAAAGTCAGCAATACCCAGTATAAAGTTCTGTCAATTATCAGAGTCAAACTCTGATGAGTAGGTCAGTAAAACCTTATCAGATCATCCACAATTCATAAAGTGACCTGATCTGTTTCAGACCACTAATACAGAAACAAAATTGATGAGAACAGATTACCCTCTAAAAGGCAACAATGATCTGATAAGGGTTTAACTTAATGGAATTTAAAAAAAAAAATTAAGAATTGCAGAGCACAGCCCCTATTAGAACAAGCTAACTTTCCAGACTTTCAAAAAAGACAAAAAAATATTTGAGAGAAAAAAAAAAAAAAACACTTCAACATGAAGCTACCATACAAAGTTTTTTTGTTGTTTTTTTTTGTTTGTTTCTTTTTTTTTTTCTTTTAAGAGTTCAGAGTTGCAATTTAATCCTGGCTTTTTAGTGAGAAGGACAGTTTTGGCCTAGACTTTCCTTTGCCCAGGATAATTTTTTGCTCTTCCTTTTGCTGACGTTGTCTCTCTTGTTCTAGTTTCATCCTCTCCTCATGAATCTTTCTTTGTTCTTCAACAATTTTCAATTGTTCTTCAGCCTATATATGAAAATGGTAGAATTTAGGCCAGCATATTTTGTAGTCATAAAAGCAATTTACAAGTCCGTATTAACTTCCAAACAGGTCCAATCCTGCACAGTTATGTAAGCAGTTCTACCTGAGCTAGATGCCATAGTTGGTTTCAGTGAAACTGTTTATAAAATGGTTATTTGAATTGAGTTTAGAAGAAACACTGAAAATTTTTTACAGCTAATGCACCAAAATCTTGAGTGCTTACGCGCAACGTTTCTCAGCATTGCTTTGCAAACACCACATTACTTTTCAATTAAGGAAGTCAGTGTACATATAGAGAAGTTCCCCTGACACCTGTCACGTGTCAGATGAAAGCAGAATATAATGAAGCAACAGACCTTCAAACAGAGGTCTCCCCGCTCCAAAACCCATCTATAACCCCTTCCTGATTCAAAACCATCTTTACTTGATTTGTAACAAGTCAATCCTTATACTGACTTATGTTTCTTATGGCTCTTCCAATGGTCTTCTAAAGGTGCTTGTTTTGTTCATTACGTCAGTTAATACTTGGAATTTTCTATTTGGCCCATTTCCACCATATGAGTTTGGGAAAAGGGTAAAACAGAAAGAGATCTAAAGCAGATTTAGTTCAAACGAAGAGTTTGAATAAGCATCATCTATACCTGAAAAAGGTGCAATTTCTTGGGTAACTGAAACCGATAAGAGTTCAGTCAGGATTTAGAAGCAGCTTAGTTTGGCTTATCATTAGTTGATTATAATCAGCTAAATCATAGTGAATGTTCTCATGAGGCAGGCACCTGCTTAAATAGGCTTGGAGACCAACATAAGCTAGACTTTCATAACTTAGACATCTTAAGCTTATGCTGAAAGTCCCTTTCAGCACTTGTATAACAACATTATACTAGTCTCAAATCCAGTTTGTACTTGTCCTGCTCAATGAAATGGAATTAGTCACTTCTGTTCTAGAAGTTCTGAACATGTTTGCAAACTTACTTCAACCTTCCCTGTGAGATACGGTTAAAAATGAACTTTTTAAATTCTGAAGGCAGCTATCTTCCTCTAAATTAACTGCACCTGAACTATTTTTTCAGACTAGTATTACTGCTAAGGGTCTGGTCTCTTACGCTCAAGGAAAGGAGAGCAACGCTACTGACATAACCGGCAATAGACAAGTTAAACTCCAGAAAGGTTGAATTTGTTTATTTTAATTGTGTTGCAAATCAGGCAGAGGGACCTGTATTCCCCTACAGAAATGTTAACTACATCTTCACATACCAGTTTAGCTTGTGCTTCTGCAATTTTTCGATTATTCTCTTCTAGTATTCGCTCTAGTTCCTCACGCTTTGCACGCTCTTCTTCCTAAAGGGGAGGACAGGGCAAGATGTTAGTAAAGTAAAATATTAATTTCTGCATGTTCACTAATCTTTCTCAGAATTCTTTTGTGAACTGACTTAAAGTGGCAGCTTTACAGCCACCTATTTTGTCTCACAACGGTAAATTGTGCAGCCACTAAAACTGGTTTCTAGTACTCAATTTAAATCATCCCGCCCAGTCCAAACAGCAACCAACTAAACCCTCCCTAATCATAGAATCCTGACAATTTATTACTAGAATTTTAATATCACACAAATCAACAAGGACAACTACAAAAACTGGATAGTATTTACCAAATTAAAAAGTAATATAGAAAATATAAATAAAGTGAATAGTTTGTCTCACCAATTAAGTATACCTACGTATTCTTTACCTATACTCCTTTAATCAGCATTAAAAGTTGAATATTTACTGTCTTGTCCAGTGTCCTGCAGAGTGTGCTCCTCGGCTGCCATACGCGCCAGCTTCCTCTTTAAAATGATTTGTACTGTTAGCTTGGCAATACCTGCATCAGCAGCTCAACCATTTATAAAGAAACAACATACAAGGAAGGCTGAGCTGAGGAATGCAGATGTTTATGATAAGAAGGAACAAAAATATGTAAATCATTCCTAAGGCAAACAATTAATAAGAAAAATACATTTACTGTTAGTGAAAAATACAAATGGTAATCCATACTTCATGGAGCTATGGGCTTCTTTCATGGGCAGAATGGACTTAACATTCAATATTTTGACAATTTTAAGACAGCTGAAACTGTCATTTGCAGTCTGAACTTGGAATTCAGGAGTCCAGGGAAGGCAAGATCAGGAAATAAAGCCTTGTAATTGTTGTTTTCTTGGTGAATTTTATGGAACTCTGTTATGCAACTCAAATATGAAGACTGCGTGAAAGTTTTTGAGGTGTTTCAGTTCACGTAATATATATCCGAATTATTTTAATATTTGGAAGATTTAAAGTTAGCCAGAGGTTTGTGTCTGTGTAAGAAAAAAAAGTTAATACGAACAAAGCAAGCATACGAAGAGAAAACTTCTTACTATGACTAGTAACCAGCTACTAGCTAGCACACTTCACTCCAGGCATGGAAGTTTGTTCTGTGTTATAAAGAACTGATGGGACTTCTTCACATCACATTGACAATAGCAAAAATACTTAAAAAAAAAAAAAAGTCATCCATCTGATCAAATGAAAACCTCTATACATGAAGCATTTGCTGACTATAGACATCTAAATTCAACTTCAATTCCTTCATAGTTAAGGTTTTAATTTGCAAAACAAGTGTAATTTACATTCTTAATATTTGTTGTAACTCAGTGTTCTGGGTTTTTTTTGTTTTTAATTTAAAGATATTATGTGACACACAAGTCACATTGAGGATGAAGGGGAAAGCTTCATTGCTACTGTCTTTCCTTTTGTAAGCCAATTGAAATATTAATTTAAAATAAACTGTGTAGGAGGTAGAGAGAAAAAGGCACTTGAGACTTATGACTACTTAGCACAAATTTCCTTTACAGTTTAAAGTTTGTCTTGAAATTTCTGGATCCTGGAATGATTGGTGCAGGCAGGCATCAAAGCCTTTAGTAGCAAATTACTGTCTCAGAAAGACATTTTCAGCTTCTGCTCCAGCTGCTGATTAAAAAAAAAAACAAAAAAACCAAAACCAAAAACCCAAGTCACATGTTCAGCTTGACTTCAGACAAGGGCAACCTGCTCTTTTATAACTTCTAGGGAAAAAAAAAAGGAGTTGTTAGTAGTTATTAAAAATTGATATAATGATTTGGACATAGATCCTCCGTGAAGACGTGGATGGGCTTATGCTCGAAGTCCCAGAATTAGTCCAATGTATGCTCAAGGAAAATGTTCGTTTTAAATGAAGAGTAAGAAACCTATTTGTTAAAAGACAGGTACTGCAGCTCACTGCTGGACCCTGCTTTTTGCCTGACTGAAGGCAAAAGCCTCTTACAGTCTAGGTAAACAAAATGAAATAAATGAAGGATACATAATTACAGATTTTCAATACCCTTCCCCAAAAATGAAAGGACCGCTGATAAATCCTGCAGCCATGGCAAAAGTTTCAAACAATTATGAAATATGTAGGTCAGTTCCATTAAAAATCAAGTATCCTTGTTCAGGTTTTAGGAGAATAACTGTTTTAAGTATCAGTGAGCTCCTCTGAATAGGCTAGAAATTAAGTTTCGCAGCAATGCAAGTTTATACGAGAAGGGAATTAGATTTGCTGTATTCCATCTCTTTCTGAACCGAACAGGAGGCACAAACCGACACTGAAAGTTTTGCCATGGACTGTCTCTACTTTCCAAACGACCGAGCGTTACCTCTCTGGCTTTTTGTGCTGCAAGTTCAGCTTGTCGCTGTCGCTCGAGTTCTTCGAGCAACTGTTTTTCCATGATGCGCTTAGCCTCCTCCACCCTGCGGAGAACCTCTCGCTCAATCTCATCCTTCCTTTTCTCCAACTCTTCTTCTACACGTTTAGCCACAAGCTCTTCCACTCTTCGAGCAGTTTCTTCCTCTATAAGTTTCTCTTCAATTTCCTGTTGACGACTAGAAAATGCGAACACGAGGATTACCTTTTTAATCAATAAAGAACGGTTGCATTGAAACAAACTCTTGCAAATGCACAGCATCAGCCACGCTACTGAATCAACTTTTTAACCGTCTTATACAGACAGATCATATATTTAAAGAATGTTTTGCCCTACATTTAAGGAAAAGTGAATATTCAGGCAACCAGTGTTCCTAACCCAGGGAACTCATTCAGACCACAACATATATAGCATCTTTCCATATCTCAAGACACCAAGCTTAATACGACACCTTACCATACTACTACTTCATCATTTTTAGGGAAAAAAAGAAAAAAAAAAAGGGGGGGGGCCAGGGGGAGGGAGACATCCCCCAGCTTTGGCCATCTTTCACCCTTCAGGAACTTGAATTTTAAGTCACATGTAGCAATAATATCTTGTAAAATCTTGTCTTAAAGCCACCACCTCAGAAGCACCAAACTAATCTCTAATAACTAAAATAGAAGATAGAAGCAATAAAATCTGTAATTTGAGTATTTTAGTAAGAACTCCAGGTGTTGTTTCTCTAATCTAGTTATCCAATAATATACCTTATCAAGTTTCAAATACTTCAGCTCTCCTTAACTTCTTTATTGCAGCACTCTATTTCTACTGTAATTATCCAAAATAAAATATATCAAGTGCTAAATAAATCCTTGCAACCTTTACAGTTTTCTGCATTCTGAATTTCGGAAGTATTTACAAATGTCTTCTTGTCTTTACTTTTGTTTAGCAGCAGCGTTATCAATTAGCCTGATCTCTGTTTTAAGTTTTCATTAAAAAGGATACAAAAAGACTAGGTCAATTCACAGGTTTATTACCAAGCGCAGGAAAAAAAAAAAACTTCCAGGTAGTAATCACTAGTACAATATAGCAATTAGATATCTGAAGATCAACAAAAGTGAATTCTGTATAGCTATGTTTCTTATAGTACTATTTATTTAGAATTATTATGGGCTTTGGGGAGAAGGTTGTTCTTTTCTAACCTTGAAACCCAACTTTCATTTTAAGTATTCTGTGAAGTATGGAACAATCTTATAAACTTATCTTCTGGCCTGTCAGCACCAGAAATCCATGATTTACAATAACAACTACTGTTGTAATACCCTAACATGCTGTCATTTTCATAATGTTTGCATTTTTCTACCTTACTTCTATTGAGAGACATAAAACCAACTTTGACTAAAAAAAAAGAAAAAAGAAAAAAAAAAAGAAAAAATGAAAAAATGTTACAGGATTTACTAAATTTTAGATTTCCCAGTGTACAATTTGCTAACATGCAATAGGAGATAATAAAGTACAGATTACCGATCTAGACAAACATGAAAGGTGAAAGGCTTCCAAATTCCCCCTGTTCATGTATATTCTTTTCAATAGTGTGCTCAACACAATGGATAGTCTATCTCCTTCAGTAAAAAGTTCTGGAACCCCCAACTTAAATGTTCAGCCCCAGAACACAAATTTTATTCTTCCATTCCTCAAGAGATAGCAAACTTATTCAGTGACACATTAGGCCAGCATTCACTTTTCCTAAAACGACACAAAACATCTTGAGGCGATATTTTCAGAAAAACAAAAACCCAAAGCCACCACCATCCAGAGAAATGCATCAACTCCATTCTGTTAGTGTGTCACTACCAAGCCACTACTACCTACCATTCTTTTTGGATGGAAGGTGGGGGAGGGGTCAAAAGTTTAAAAGATAAATTTTTAAACACCCTTTATATACAAAGTGGCCTTTTACTTTTAAAAGTTTTTCTTCCCTCTTAAGGGTATTTATTCAGCAGCGAGTACTCTCACCACCCTGTACTGATACAGCTTACCACTACATAATAGGCTGTTCTACGGAAATCATTTTTTCAGAAAGCTCATATTCACGTGTTTTATTCAACTACTTCAGCTTTACATTTAACACTATGGAAATCTAGAATAAAAGTTATCTAATTGAATAAAGATAGCACATAGTTATAAAAAAAACCCCTGACACTCAAGTCTGAATTAAGTTTCCAAATATCCTCAGCAATTGATGATGTACTCAAATTACGCACTCTGCCTGCACACGTTTCATTCTTCTCACCCCAACAAATTCCATTCAAATTTAATCAAACCAAGCAAATATACCTTTTCACATTCATGGGCTATGACAATATTACAAATATATAATAACTGTTAAGTGTAAGCAACCACATTTCTTGAAACACTAGAAAGAAGGGAAATAGAATAAAGTAAAAATTTCTTCTCAAAGTTAATTTATAAGACCAACTTGTGCCTATGGCTAAAGATAATATAATTCAAATCATGGCTTTGAGTTTATCAAGAGAATCAAATTATAAACACAGGTATAAATTTCAATGACTTATTCTGTAGTTTATACTAACTATTCATTATTCTTTTTAAGTCACATGAACTTACAGTATTTTATTTATAGGTGTAAGTTTATCATCCTGACCTACTGAGCCATGACTCCAGAGAAACAGACAAGTCATTAATGTAAAAATATTTTTAGTATGTTCCATTTCCTCCTTAAAGAGTAATTTTATAAAATCTGCAGAAAAGAAGCTGCTTAGATTTCAGCAGATTTCTGAGGAAAAAAAAAGTCATATTTGCAAGGCCTTTACAGAAAACTAGCATGACAGGAAAAAGCAGAAGTTAGGATTTGAACAGACAGGAGAAGAAGAAAGTCACTTTCAATATACAAACTGTCCACTAGTTAATTCAGTTAGCAAGAGAAGTACTTCTTTCCTTCACTAACATGAGTATATACCAACATATATAACACAATTTACAGGTAACTTATTCAAATACCATAGTTTTCTACTCTATTCAGTTTTATTGCTTTGTCTTTTTGAAATTTAAAATGTATTCTAGAAGTATCAAAATCTGTACCAAATCTTTTCCAATACTGCTTCTCCCTCAGGAGTTTACTATTCTGTTGCCAATATCACTCAAATGTCATACTCCTCCTATACAGACTTCATGAGTATTCTAAAATTTCAAAGCTAACTTATACTGAAAACTTACTGCAGAAAATAATTGAAATGTATGTCGCTACATCTAATGTTACTGAATGAATTTCATTCAGTTTCAATTTGAGCACTCCACAGCAAAAAAAAAGGTGATCAAATATTTTAGATGTATTATTTAAAGATTATAAACACCTCATTTTCCACAGGCACTTGAACAGATCCTCTCTCAACTTTCAAAGCCTGCACACAGGCTAACCATAAAATTCTCCACTAAGACTAACATCATTTAATATTTTAAGTTAGATAGTATCTATTTTTTGTGTCATGTTCTCTTTCTTCAATCTTTAAATCCATTTACATAATATTTAAAAGAATACATATGAACTAAAATAGCTCCAATATACTAAGATACGCTATTCACTGTATTGTCAAATTGTTAAGCACATTCCAATCCTTCTTCCCAGATACGCATGGAATATTCTTATCAATTTAGGTACTGAGTAAAACTATAAACTGAAAAATTAGGGTAAATAACTCAGAAAGCCTTCAACATTTTCACGTGTGTTTGTGTTACCATGCAAGTTTTTGATGATGTTGCTGTCAAATTCTGAAGTTCGCAAAGGAGATTACCAACAAACAAAAATGAAAGTGACAACTCAGGACGATCAAGCCTTCTGAACTACAATTAATATTTCATTAGAACAACATCGCTGAAATAAAACTGAAAGCTCCACCTGAGAATTAACAGAACTAGTTGGCTTCACCCGTACAAACAACTGCTATTTCTGGATTCAGCGTCCAATGAGCGAGGGTAACATTCAAAGAACAAGAATCGCTTTATGACAACTGTTAAAACCGTTGTTATCTCTGCTGTGTAAAGGTCTCTCTCATAGCTTAACAATATTGCTAAACACCTTAACGCACATCCAACGTTTGTTAAAACAGAATTTATCTATCTCTGTAGACTTTATAAATAACCGCATTCCCCATAACGAAAACTGAAAAAGGAAAAGGTTTCAAATGAAACGAGCCACCGGATCTCACTGTCCCATTTGGCAAGAAAATTTAAAAAAACCCTCAGTGTTAATATAACCGTCGTAAAGTGTTTCTTAAAACCCTCGGCCCAGCAGCTCCAGGTGCCTCCGCTGGACGCGGAACAAGAAGCTCCACGCAAAAAAAGGGGAGGGGCGGGCGGTGTGGCAGCGCCGCACAAAGCCTGCGGGCCGCGGGGCCTCCTCCGCAGAGAGGAGCTTACGCGCAGCGCGGGGGAGCGGCGGCAGAAGGGAAGCGGGCAGAGCCAGCGGGCGGGGCGGCAGCCTGGCACCCCGAGCGGGCGGCTCCTAAGGCACCGGAGGCAGCCAGGCTTTAGGGAGGGGAAGGATGGCGGGAAAACGGGCAGAAGCGAGGCCTCAGCGAGGGCCTGAACGCCTTTCTCCCTGTCGCAGGCGGCCCTGGTCTGGAGGAGGAAGGTGCGGAGAAAAAGGGACCCGGGCGAGGAGCGCCTCCTGCCCTCCCCCTGCCCCTCGCCCCCCCGCC